TAGGGAGCCAGACGAAGCAGCAACTGCTGCTGCTGCTGTTGAGGTGTATGATGAAGCAGCTGTTGCTCGGCGGCGCTCCCGCGGCTGCTGGTTCCGCCAAGCAGCAGCAAAAGAAGCAAGCGAGATGAGCTATAGACCTATTCAAGCTTTCTATGAGCCAGCAGCAACAGAGTGGAGACAGCAGCAGCAACAAAGAGCAGCAGAAGAAGCACAAAAAAAACACACCATCAAAACGTATAGAAAGGTCATACTCTGCTGGATAGAAAAACAAAGAAGAAGAAGATACCAAGCAGCACTACAAGCAGCAGAAAAGGCAGCAGCAGAAGCAAAAGCAGCAGCAGCAGCTGCTGCTGCTGCTGCTGCAGCAGCGAACCAAGACGTGCAGCCGACGCAAACAGCTCCAAGCGGAACTCAACCCGCCTACAAGGAACCAACCAGCAGCAGCAGCAGCAGCAGCAGCAGCAGTAGCAGCAGTAGCAGGACCCCCAGCAGCAGCAGCAGCAGCAGCAGTAGCACCCCCAGCAGCAGCAGCAGCAGCAGCAGCACCCCCAGCAGCAGCAGCAGCAGCAGCAGCAGCACTTCCAGCAGCAGCAGCAGCACCCCCAGCAGCAGCAGCAGCAGCGTTAGTATAACGGGTGAGGGTATGTATGAGTGGTGGCCGTCTGGCGTTCGTCTGCAGGCTCTGCGGCCTTTGTGGAGTGTCGTTTGGCTGCGAGAGAAAACAAACGCATGGGCGTTGATCGATTGGAAAGCTGTACAGCTTTCGCCTGCGGGAACACTCATTGTTTCAGACTTTGCTCACCCTGATGCCTCGCCTCTTTGTCCTTTTGCGTGTTTATAAACTTATTTATTTATTTATTTATTTATTTATTTATTTATTTATTTAGGTATTTAGGTATTTATTTAGTTGGGGTTGGTTTTGATTGGAAAGCTGTACAGCTTTCGCCTGCGGGAACACTCATTGTTTCAGACTTTGCTCACCCTGATGCTTCTCCTCTTTGTCCTTTTGCATGTTTATAAACTTATTTATTTATTTATTTATTTATTTATTTATTTTGTTTATTTAGGTATTTAGGTATTTATTTAGGTGGGTCTGGTTTTTGACTGGAAAGCTGTACAGCTTTGCCTCTCCTCTTTGTCCCTTTGCATGTTTATAAACTCATCTATTTATTTATTTATTTATTTATTTATTTATTTATTTATTTATTTATTTATTTATTTATTTAGTTGGGTTTGGTTTCTGTTTTCTTGTTTTTTCTATTTCTACACTGTACTGCTGCTACTGCTCTTTATAATGATTACTATGAAAGGGAGGCTCAGGCAGTAAGATACTGGTAATCATGCTGCTGCTGCTGCTGCTGCTGCTGCTGCTGCTGCTGCTGCTACAGCAGCAGCAGCAGCAGTGCTG